TAAATCCTCTTTTTCTGCGTCTCCATAAAAGTATTTATAAGCGTTTCTAATCGCTTTAGTAATCAAAGCACCTGCTACCAACCCAGTACCGGCAAACATGGCCGTACGAGTTGATAAGAGATTCCCGAATCCACGCATCCTTCCAGCTAAGCTCGGCTCGACTGACTGACGAAGTGGGTTCTAGCACCCTATTTATAGGCTGGCAGGATGACGTCACAGAGCGACATAATAACGTCAAAGCGTAGAGTGAGAGGAGGACGCAAACGCTGTCAACAAGCTAAATAGGCAGCGCCACGTGCGTTTTCAGCGTTTGTGAGATCATCATACAGGTGACGCCATTTCTTTTAAGGAATCACGTGGTAATCTCAGATTGTTTCATGGATTTTTTTTTTTACCTTAAACAACGGAATGACTGCTGGTTCCATGTACACGTTACTATAGAGCATTATTACCTTGTAGATTTTTAGAATAAACAAAATTAATGTAGCTTTTTTTATTAGATCTTATAACTTCCTCGTGAGCATAAAGTGGGTGTAAAAATTAAAGCGGGTTGTTTAAGTTAATAAAATGTGCATTTGTTTATTCAACATAAGCCTGACAAAGCAGGTATGAAAATGTCAGTTATTGTTATTTTAATTATTCTGATTTTCCCCACCGGATCACGACAGTTGTTAACAAGTCCCTTTGTCAGACATTTGTTTACTGAACTGTTACATGTAGCGTTTACTACTGATAACCTTAAACAGGCCCGGAGTGGCTAATCGGGGTCTGGACCGCAAGGCCTAGTGTTGTTTTTGTTTGTGCGTTTGTTTGTGTGTTTGTTTGTTTTGGACCGGTGCTCAGTCATCATGTCACTGGGCTGATCCCTAAGACCGCCTACCTAATGAAAGGGCCTCTCATGTCAGGTACAAAAACAAAAACATGTGTTTTGTAACTCGTCAGTTCTTGTCTTCTTCTCTTTTTGTGTTGGGGTTAGGGTTCAGTCATGGCTTTGATCAGACGCCGCTACCGCTCTGTCCCCGGGCCGCCTCTGCCTTTTTTCTGCAGGCGCTTCCAGACGGAACACTTCAGGCGACTCCGGGTGGGAGAAGCAGGACTCAGGAGGAAAACTAGAAACAGACGCCACTAAATGTGCAAAACGGGCATTTTTCACTAAAACATGCTGTTTTCGGAGTCAGCAGCAAGTCCCAGCAGCATCAGCAGGTAGGATCACTCACTCACTGAGGGAATACTATGAGAATTAATAATGGAGAGGATGACGAAGACCTGCTCTATTAAAGCGGTCCGGATGTTGGCTCTGTCTGGTTCGGTTCGGACCTCACGGTAAAGCCAGGGGTGCAGACTCTCCCACCAGATCCACGGTGCAGTTCAACCTGACATCAGTTATCTTTATTTTCATTTACATGAATGATCATGAGGAATCATCTGGACAAATGTGAAAGAAAAAGATCTATAGAGAAGGAAAATGAAAAATGTAGGAGAAAATGAGGATGAACTTCTTTAGTAAATGTTCACTGATGAGTTTTCGTGTTTGTGAAATTACAAGTGAGGTCACACACAAGTTGTGTTTTCATAAAACAGTGTTTACATCTGAAAATAAGTCAGGGTTTTATTTTAACTTTATTTCTCAGTGTTGCAGCTGGATGCTCTTCTGCGTATCTCTAATAGGCTGTCAGACATTTGAGATTATTTTCCAGTTATTGAATTAAATAATTATATGATGAATATTTTTCTAAATCAAAGTTTTAATAAGTTATTAAATCAGACACATCAAAAGGTGGTCATATACTGGTAATAATTCAATTTAATTTTATTTATATAGCGCCAAATCACGACAAGAGTCGTCTCAAGGCACTTCACATAATAAACATTCCAATCCAGGTCAGTCCATTAAGCCAATCAGAAAAAAGTTTCCTATATAAGAAACCCAGCAAATTGCATCGAGTCACTGACTAGTGTCAGTGACTATACAGCAATCCTCATACTAAGCAAGCATGTAGCGACTGTGGAGAGGAAAACACTCTTTTAACAGGAAGAAACCTCCAGAGGATCCCGCCTCAGTATAAGCAGCCATCCTCCACGGCTCACTGAGGATCGAGAAGACAGAACGAACACACACACACACACACACACACACACACCAAGCAATGTGTCTATGGTTACATTGTGATTTCTAAGTAAATATTCTATTTGGCGAGAGATAAACTTTATTATATTTATCCTAGTGAATCTATTGTTAAACGGATAAACTAGTAGTAGCACATCCAACGTCAAGGAAAGCAAAAAGTTATTATCAGGAGAGGGAGAATGTTTAAGTGGTTAGCAGCAGTGTGCTAGACGATGGCCCCCTCCATGAGGCCACCACAGCTCAGCAGAACATCATTGTAGCTTGAACCTAAATATGCAATTTGTGACATTTGCAAACAATGAATAAGAGTAGATCTGAATAGGCTTGAGTTTTATTAGGGGAGTTCCCCCTGGCAGCCATAGCTAAGAGACGATTCAGATCATCTGAGCCTGCAGCAAGCAGGCTCTTAAAGCTGACTCTTATTCCTGAAAATGGCGTGTCAGCTCGAGTCCACATGTTGGATTTAGTTCAGGGTTAATGTTTTAAAATGATATTACATGCAAACATGATGCCTCAACTTCAGTTTTAATCCACAGAGTTTCAGCCTTGCAAACACAAAACTAGTGAATCGTGTGTTTTATAATAGATTATATTCGTGGGACGTCTTTGAGAACCAGAGAAGTCCTTGAAAGGCCTCTGACAGTTTTGAAAAGACTCTGATTCAAGGCCAGTTTCATTCAGCCTCCAGCTGGGTATTGTGTGGCTTTTAGGCATAATTGCTCCACAATTTGAGCTCGTTTTTGGTCCTTTAACTATTGTTTCTGTGTGATTTAGATCATTTTTCAGCTTATTTTGAACTAAGTTGGGTTAACTTAGTGACAACTTTTTTGATTTATGTATGTCTGCGTGCATCTGTGTCCCATATTTAGTCAGTTTGGTCATTTTTCATCTGTTTAAAAAAAGATAATCACTATTTATTGTTTCCCTACGATTCTGCATGCAGCATTTGCTAATTTAGGCTATGCATCATAATTGTCTTATATTTTCAAACTTTTTAATTTATTTTATGTCTCATCATGAATAATTGTTGCACCTCTTTGGATGCAGACTTCTTTTTATGTTGAAGCCTTTGTCTCACATTTATGGTTTGTATTTCTTCAGAATTGTCTCATTTTGGTCATCTACACTCTCCAGATAAGTCACACTGGGTTGTTTTATTACTGTTGATGATTTCTGGAATTGTGTTTTTTTTTTGCAAGGATACATTTGTTCTAGGAGTCAGATATAAGGTTTCAAATACAGGCCATTTAAAAAAACACACAAATAAACATGCATTAAAGTAGGTAAACTGTGAATAAAGAATTTCTTACCTCTTAATTGTTTAGATTTTGCAAGTAAACTGCAAAATAAAACAACAAATAATAATAATAAAATAACCACTATGTCATTATGATGGCGCCAAACCACCATAAACTGAACCAGGACCTTGACTAGAGTGTATTTCAAAACAAATCTTTATCTATTTAACAATAAACATTTAGTTAACAACAGAGATACATTTGTGAAGCTAGCAGTAATGTGTATCAGAAAACAACAGTTATGAACCTTTAACTATCTTTCTCTTTTTTCATCCTTTCTTCCCCTTCTCCATTCTCTCTTTTTTGTATGTGTATATTTTACCCCTTTATTTTTTGTCTGTAAATCTTGTAGGAAAACAAAGAATACCATCTAGAGGGTTTGAGGAGACTTGAGATTCTTGGTGTGATTTAAAGTTTATATGTGAATTTCGGCTCTGTTCACGAAACCTCGACCGTCAAAGTAGGCAGACTTTCCTTCTTCACGTCAGGGGTGGAGCTTCAGGGCAGCGAGCCCCCGGCCAGGGCTTGGGAGGGGCCCGCCCCTGCAATCAGGCAGACGAGAGGGAACGGCGCCTCTAACACAATCGATGGACAAGCACTTCCATAACTTGTGTTCAGAGGAAGATGAGCTTCATTCTTAATAATTCCTCTCATGCATTTATTTAGGGTTTATGTAGGTTGCCCCAGTCCAGATCGAGTCATGGTTCCTAAAAACTTGCAACCGACTGACTTTAGTGATGTACGACATTGTGACATCATATGGTACCAGCTAACGCTCTAGGCTACCTCTTAGCCAATAGCGATGTCAGATTTAAATTCAAATGCAGTGCACTTGTTCAAGCTGGCTTTTGTATGACCTTCTTCACCACTCTCTCTTTATTCTGCTCTCCCCATCTATTCCACCTTCCTCAGGATCCACTGATTTCCCTCTTTCCTATTCACTCTCTCTCTTTAACATTTTTTATATCACAATTGCCTATCTTTTGCTCATTTTAAATATATTTTTAAACATTTTCTAAATGTTTTTTATATTTTTACTTTTTTTTGTTTTTGTGAAGCGCCTCGTGATTTCTATCTTGAGAGGCGTTATAGAAATGATATTTTCTTCTTCAGTTTTTACCTGACAAAGGCACACTGACAGTTTTAGGCAGAAAATTATTTTTTTTACCAAAATGCACTAAAGTGCAAAACTATTACTACACGAGTCTGCAGCACGATTAGACACGCATTTAAATAGTTTATCAGAAAAACGTTGATTTGGGGTGACTTGCTCTTTAAAGCTATGGATTTAGAATGTCCACCCTCTAGTGGAGGATGTAAGTACTGCAGGTGACGTGCCTAATGAAACGTGTCTGATTACAAAGAGAAATGAAAGATAATTGTTACATTAACAGATTTTAATATGAATTTTGGATTATTTATCAGCTTTGAAGGGTTTAATACTCTGCAATCAAACAGCTGCTGTTTTATATATGATCATTAGAGGGCATCAAACTTTGTTTCTCCAGTAAATGAAAAGTTTCAACTGAAATTGAAAAAAAAAGTACTTTAGTCAGAAAACGTCAACTTCAGAAAAGGATTAAAGGATTATTTATTGTATTTTTCCTGTCATCCAGATACTAGTTAATACAAAAGCAAACATTCATATTTCAAAGTAATTTTAAAACGTAAACCACAATGATCTGCTTGGCCTTAACGAGATTACTGCAGGAATGAGCTAAACCCTCTGTCCAAATCTGGCACAAAATTACAACTATTCTGATTCAGACAAGATTTAAGCAACTAAACTGCTAAGAAATAAAACTGATCAGATGTGTGAGGTTGCATGAAAACAGTTGAAACCAGCTCAACTCGGCACATTTCTCACATCACCGCAGACATTCAACAGATGCATTTGTGTGTCGTGTGGGTTTGATTGCCCTCGGTACAATCAGAAACTATTTTCTAAGTGCCGGCACCATTACTTTTATAAGCTTTGTTGCATCACACTGACCAGTCAGATTTACCCGTGAGCATGAAACCACTTACATGAACCCTCAGTGTGCAGACCCTAGACTTCAACTGAAAATAATCAAAATGAAATAGTTTTAAATGACATTTCTAAACTATTTGTTCAGCTCAGAATCATTTCCGGCTGATGATATTTTCAAATTAATCTGAGATGTTCCCCATTGAGCCCAGTCCACTTATGAATGGATGCTAGTAACTGGGTATTTTCAGTAGATTCACAGCTCCTGCAGGTAAAACTACATTTAATACTTTATTCACTCTAAGGCAAAGTGCACATTTTCTTTTTACAGGCATAAATCTGGAGTGAGGCGGCCACAGACAGCCCCCGCCACGTCAGTCAAACACATCAGGGTCACGCGTGGCTATGAGCCGAGACTCTCCGTGATGCAAAGTGAAGAAAGATTCTGGTTTCAGTCCTTTTTGTTCCAGAGCCTCTCTGAGACGAACTGGTGGTTCCAGATAGTTCTACACAGAGACGAGAGCAGATGAGAGGTTGGTTATAGAACTGTAGCTTTAAAACCAAAGATCAAGACCATCATCAATGAATAAAATGGTTATTCATATCTGATTTTAACAATTACTAATGATTTTTGCACACTAGTAAAGCCTTGTCCATAAAAGTGATTTCATCACTTTTATGGACAGAATTTCTAGACGCAGCCGTGGTGTGGAGTGTGTCGAGTTTGGTGGCAGGAGAATCTCGTCTCTGCTTTTTGCGGATGATGTGGTCCTCCTAGCTTCATCCAGCTCTGACCTTCAGCTCTTGCTGGGTAGGTTCGCGGCCGAATGTGAAGCGGCTGGGATGAGGATCAGCACCTCCAAATCTGAGACCATGGTTCTCGACCGGAAAAGGGTGGCTTGCCACCTCCGGGTCGGGGGAGAGGTCCTACCTCAAGTGGAGGAGTTTAAGTATCTCGGGGTCTTGTTCACGAGTGAGGGTAGGAGGGATCGGGAGATCGACAGGCGGATTGGTTCGGCGTCTGCAGTCATGCGGACGCTGAGCCGATCTGTCGTGGGGAAGAGGGAGCTGAGCCAGAAAGCCAGGCTCTCGATTTACCGGTCGATCTACATCCCAATCCTCACCTATGGTCATGAGCTTTGGGTGATGACCGAAAGAACGAGATCGCGGATACAAGCGGCCGAAATGAGTTTCCTCCGTAGGGTGGCCGGGCTCAGCCTTAGAGATAGGGTGAGGAGCTCGGACATTCGGGAGGGACTCGGAGTAGAACCGCTGCTCCTCCGGATCGAAAGGAGCCAGTTGAGGTGGTTTGGGCATCTGGTCAGGATGCCTCCTGGACGCCTCCCCGGGGAGGTGTTTCGGGCATGTCCTGCCGGCAGAAGGCCCCCGGGTCGACCCAGGACACGTTGGAGAGGTTACATCTCCAATCTGGTCCGGGAACGCCTTGGGGTCCTGCCGGAGGAGCTGGTGGACAAGGCCGGGGAGAGGACGGCCTGGAGCTCCCTAATTGGGATGCTGCCCCCGCGACCCGGACCCGGATAAGCGGAGGAAGACGAAGACGAAGTAGTAAAGCCTTGAGCAGGACCAGTGAGGCTATGTTTAACTCCGAGTTGTTTGCCTCCCAAAGGTATTCCACTTACGACCGTGACCAGTGAGATCAAGTTAAAGGAGCAATTTGTAAGAATGACATCCTGTGGTCAAATGTGGGTACTGCGGCCCTTTTTTTAAGCAAAAATGTACTTTCTCACTGCCGTTCTGAGTTTCATGGCCGTTGCCAGTTACAGATCATTCCCATAAGATTCTAGATGACAAGCAAAGACGAGTCAGACACACGATAAGTAAATAATACATTGTCATATCTGGTGTTAGCACTCATGGGTGATTTACAGTAGAGAACACTTACTACAGTTATTACGGTAGTTTGTCTCCGGCATTTCAGGAAGTGTAGTTGTTTATCATCTTGCTGTTAGCTTGCTGTTATAGTTCTGAACGACTCATTAAAGCTGCAATAGCGAATCTGCAAACAAGCCGGCTCTTTAAACACAAACACGGAGCACTCACTCTTCCTGCTGGTTTATATCCCAGGCTATGTTTGCCAGAACCGGAAACCTGCTTTGCCAGAGGAAACGAGTGAGCGCTAAACACCAGTCGCCGTTTTCTATGCCCAAACGTCTTTTCTTGTTCATGACTTCAAACAGTGTTTTTCTTTTTGGGACTCTAAAGTTGAAATGGTAGCAGCCGGCTATTTCTCCTCTGATATTATTGAGCGGAGAACCTCACAGCAGAGGTGTTCTGTTGCTAAATATGCAAGTGGAGGACTGAGGCACATGCTGAACTTCAATAGCTGCTTTTGGTCCAAGTCGTGTTATTAGTGGAGGTTTTTTAATGCAAATGTGGGAGAACCACTTTTATCATTTTTTTTTAAATCTCCACAATATATTTATAGCCAGTGTCTTTGAGATGCAGAGTTCGGACACTCCTATAGGTCTCAACTGAAAGAACGGAATACGGAAGTAACGTCTGCCATGGAGCTCCCAATAGTTCCACCACTGAACGCTGTTCATTCTCTGAGTTTATTTTCTTTGGTAAGTTGATGCGCTGCTGCGTTAGCTCACTGCAGATTTGGCAACTTAAACTCAGTGTAAACAGTAACTATGTCCGACTGACAACCCCCAGCCATCTGAGAAAGAATTCTGCTTCAGTACAACTTTGCTCCAACATGATTGAGCCTGATTTGTGATTATTTCACTAGAATTCTTACAAATTGCACCTTTAAAAGTAAAAAGGCCTTGTCCTTCACGATTAAACTGCTTCATTTCTGTGTCACTTAGAAGCATCCTGAGAAGTCTGTTGCTGTAACCTTATGAACATTTGGAGTTTCTTACCACCCAGCTTATAAAACTGCCTGTAATTATGATTAAAGAGGCATTTTAGATGGATAAGCAATGGTTTAAGAAAAAACTATAAAACTACATGGAAGTCAAAAAGTTTAACTGAGACAAGCAGCATGACATTTGTTTGGTTGGGAGGAAGTGTTCATTCACTACTTGAGTAGAAGTATAGATACTAGGGACATATCAGAATGCGTTTCCTCTCATCTAAACTTATTAGAGACAACAACACTGATGACACGTTTATAGCATGAAATGACTTAAGCCGGTGTAGGTACCAGATCGGCTCGGGGACCTGCGCCTGCCGATGACGTCACACTACATGATTGGCTGAAGACAGGACTTTCTAAAGTTCGTACTACCACAGTCGTAAAAATTACGTTAGCATGTTGACACTGAAGATTTTGATTGGTCCGAACAAACTAGCGGTTGTAGTCCTGTAGTCCAAAAACCAACACTTTCATAGAAAATAAGTTTTATTCCCTGGGCTGTCACCTTACCATGTTGGAGGGGTTTGAAAGTCTCAATGATCCTAGGAGCTAAGTTGTCTGAGGCTTTCTGCCTCTGGTAGGGTCACCCATAGCAAACAAGTCCTAGGTGAGGGATCAGACAAAGAGCAGCCCGAAGACCTCTTATGATGAATTATATAAATGGAAACCGTGTTCCCTCGCCCGGACGTGGGTCACCGGGGCCCCCCTCTGGAGCCAGGCCTGGAGGTGGGGCAGGTTGCGAGCGCCTGGTGGCCGGGCATTCACCCACGGAGCCCGGCCGGACACAACCCGAAGAGGAAACGTGGGTCCCCCTTCCCATGGGCTCACAAGTCGTGGGAGAGGCCAAAGGGGTCGGGTGCAGTGTGTGACGGGTGGTAGTTGAGGGCGGGGACCTTGTCGGTCTGATCCTCGGCTACAGAAGCTAGCTCTTGGCACATGGAATGTCACCTCTCTGGTAGGAAAGGAGCCTGAGTTGGTGTGTGAGGTTGAGAGGTTACAACTAGATATAGTCGGACTCACCTCAACGCATGGCTCTGGCTCTGGAACCAGTTTCCTTGAGAGGGGTTGGACTTTCTACCACTCTGGAGTTGCTCCCACTGAGAGGCGCCGAGCAGGGGTGGGCATACTTGTTGCCCCCCATCTCGTTGCCTGTACGTTAGGGTTTACCCCAGTGAATGAGAGAGTAGCCTCCCTCCGCCTACGTGTGGGGGGGACAGGTTCTGACTGTGGTCTGTGCTTATGCACCAAACTACAGTTCAGACTACCCACCCTTTTTGGAGACCCTGGAGGGGGTGCTGGAAAGCGCTCCTTCCGGTGACTCCCTCTTTCTGCTGGGGGACTTTAACATTCACGTGGGCAACGACAGCCCCCTCGCAGCCGAGTGTGAAGCAGCTGGGATGAGAATAATCTCCTCTAAATCTGAGACTTGATTCGGAAAAGGGTAGAATGCCTTCTCCGGGTCAGGGATGAGGTCCTGCCCCAAGTGGAGCAGTTTAAGTATCTCGGGGTCTTGTTCACGAGTGAGGGAAAACTGGAGCATGAGATCGATAGGCGGATTGGTGCTGCATCTGCAGTGATGCGGGCGTTGAACCGGTCTGTCGTGGTGAAGAGAGCTGAGTCAGTAGGTGAAGCTCTCGATTTAACGGTCGATCTACGTTCCTACCCTCACCTATGGTCATGAGCTTTGGGTAGTGACCGAAAGAACGAGATTGCGGATACAAGCGGCCGAAATGAGTTTTCTCCAAAGAGTGGCTGGGCTCTCTCTTAGAGATAGGGTGAGAAGCTTGGTCATCCGGGAGGGGCTCGGAGTAGACCCGCTACTCCTCCACACTGTGAGGAGCCAGTTGAGGTGGCTCGGGCATCTGGTCAGGATGGCTCCTGGACGCCTCCCTGGTGAGGTTTTTCGGGCACATCCAACCAGGAGGAGACCTAAATGTTGACCCAGGACACGGTGGAGGGACTATGCCTCTAACCTGGCCAGGGCCTTGGGATTCCCCCAGAGGAGCTGGCCCAAGTGGCTAGGGAGAGGGAAGTCTGGGCCTCTCGCCTTAGGCTACTGCCCCCGCGACCCGACTCCGTATAAGTGGATGAAAATGGATGGATGGATGCCATAGAAAACTGATTTTGATGAAATGGGGCAACAACAAAAAAGAAAACAAAAAAAAAACTGAACAAATAGCAAGCAACATTTTTAATGAATGAATGGATTTGTTTACATAAGAACTTAAAAAATATACATATGAATCCTAAATTAATATAAACAGACATGGCTGCTAATTATATAAATTAATTTAAAAAATGTCACGTTTAAGACCTGTTGTGCTTTTTAACAGTCTGATGTTGGTTTTATGTTGTTGAACATTCCTTACAAAAACGAAGACAATATGGTGTTTTATTGCCAAATTACAGTTATAAAGAAAAGATGTAGGCTGTAAGACACAAGAATGTATAACAAAACTGCTAAACTCTTTCCAAAACGTAAGTGTAAAAGCTGAGTGGATTTGCCATTGTGTGACATCATAGACAAGCGCAGGACCCCGAGCTGAACTGGTACCGACCCCGTTTCATTCTGATGTAACTAATCCGATTATCTGTATGTCCTACCTCATAGGCCAGGGCGAAGGTCCCCCAGTGTATGGCCACAGACTGCTTGGCCTGAAGGTCCTGATGGATCTGAACTGCCTCCTCTGGATCCACATGCTGGCCCCGCATCACGTATCTGGAAACCCACACAACGCTTCAGGTCACGCTCACTGTGGATAAAGTTTGTGTTTCTTTTAAAGGGTTGCATACCAACCTGGGCTGGTATGCTCCTATAGGAATTGCTGCAAGGTCAAAAGGTCCAAAGCGTCGTCCAATCTCCTGGAAGGAGGAGCAGTAGCCGGTATCGCCAGCGAAGAAGAATCGAAAGCTTGGACCCAAAACAGACCAGCTGCCCCATAAAGACTGAAACAGCAGCAGAGGAGAAGCTGGATCACAAACACGTTTCTTACATTTAACACATTTTCCTCTAGCTCTACTGACACTTGATGTAAAATTAGCTTTGAGTTCTTCAGGAATGCTAGGCTGCAGTAAAACAGATGATCTACACCAGTTAACCGCTGGTCAGTAATGGTGAAACCACAGATGCTATGACTGCGTTTGCAGTAATCCTACCTTGTTGTCGTCCCACCCTGTGCGTTTGCTCCAGTGTTGAGATGGTGTGCAGACAAACGTGACATTGTCATGACCCGGGACGCAATTCTCCTCCCACCAGTCCAGCTCCATCACATTCTCACAGCCCATCTTCACGAGCCAGTCCATCAGCCCCAGAGGCACGAACCTGTCAGACATGTTCAACTCTAATTAGAGAAGGCTCCAGTCAGATTAATGGTGCTTTTAAAGACTCGTTCTGCAGAATACAAAAATGAATCCATCTGTGGGTAAGAAACTCCTCACGCGTACCAACGTAACTCCCCCCCAAACCGAGCGTTTAGACTGGCAACAGATCCAGCATCCAGATGATCGAAGTGAGAGTGACTGATGAGAACCGCGTCAATCCTTGGCAGCTGTCGGGAAGACAGGAAAGAAGCAAACAGATGTGAAATTACTTTTTTAGCCCCCCCCCCCCCCCCCCCCCCCCCCTTTCAAAAAAACTAAAACAAAACACAAAGTAAAGTCCTACAGACCTGTTCCACAGAGCAGGGGGGTCCTCTGTACCTTTTAGGTCCCATAAACTGAAACGGTGAGGCTCTCTGGCTAAAAATCGGGTCTGTCAGAATATTAACACCCTCCATCTCAACCAGGACCGTAGCGTGGCCCAGCCAGGTGACCCTCAAGCCTGGACGAGAGTCGGAAAGGTCTGGACTTCGGACAAAGTACGGTTCCATCACCGGGAGCTCGCTGTCCAAAGTCTGAAGAAGACGAGACGGGGATTTACAAAGAACTTATCCAGAATGTGTTTACATTAAATTTAGCATCTCTGAGTTCCACAGGCTAATCTTTCAGCCACTGCATCAAACTCAGCTGACATCTGACGAGTAAATCCATGTTTTGGAGACTGAATACGACAACAGTCTGCTAGTAAAGGGTTAAATGAGTGTGTGCTGCTGTGTGAAAGCACATAATCCCTCCCTGAACTCTGAAATGCTTCCAGAAGGTATAAATACACAGTTGACACAAGGTAACAGTTTAAAGAGCTGTGAAAGATGAGCTTTGATGCTAATTATTACAACTAAACTGGCCGCCGTAAAGTTGGTTTGTGTTTATGACATGATGACATTAATGTTACTAAATACATATTTAAGAAGATTTCTACTTGAGTGAGATTACTGGGCCGAGTGGAGGTTTAAGGGAACCCCCACCTCTTTACTGGTTGGTACATTGCTGTGGTCCTTCTCCAACAGCAGGAACCGGAGCAG